GATTTTCAGTAGATTTACAGTAAGTTGCACCTAGATTAAACTGTGTAAAAAAAAAATTTAAGTATTTATGTCACTTCCCCCTAAGGAAAAAAAAAAACAAAAACACTTGTTTTGCTGGAAAATTACTAGTTGAGGTTTGTTTAACTGCCCATGACACGTAAAGAGCACCAAAACTGAGGGACCAGGACAGGGAAGTGCTCATTGCAATGGCAGGACAAAGAGAGCCCCAATGAGGTGCTTGTACTGACTGCTCTCACTGAACTGGAGTTACACTGCTTTCATCCTTACTGCCTGAAAAACAATAAGTGATCTGTTATTATTTATACAAGTCAAGTCTACACTGTGCAAATTAAGATTGACGTGATTGTTGTTATTCTGGCCTACTCCAGGTATAAATAATGTGGTATAAATAATGACAGTCAGTACTAAATCCACTGCTGTTTTCCAAGGTGCCCACTTGGAAGCAACACAACCTGCTCTGTAAGATGAGCTCAGGAGCAAACAGGGTGTTTGTGGTGCTGAGTGCTCCTCAGTTTCCTGGGCAGGTAGGTCTGTGCTTTTCTTCCAGTGTTTATCAACAGTCAGGTAAATTCTCAGTTACTTCACGAGGGGCAAAAAACAAACCCCAAACAACAAAAATACAGAACAAAAAGCCACCACTCAAAGTTTAGATCTCTAATATTATCCAAACGAATCCTCAAAATGAAAGATGATGCATTAAAAAAAAAAATCCAAAACAGAACGAAGAAAAACGAATTTTAACAGGCACAGTTTGTTTTTTTTAAATGAAAGAACCCTATATATTATGATCCACACACCACTGCCAGATTTAGACTCTTATTAAAAAACAGCATGGATTTGGTTTTTTACCAAACTGCTAACGTGTGATAAAGAATTACAAAGTCACAAAGTATTTAAGCATGTGCTGTGCACACATCACATAAAAAACACCCTTCAATGTCTGTTCAAGAACACGACACAGAAAAAGGATTTGAAATGCAAAACTGGCATAACAGTTTATAACCAAGGATAAGACACACCATGCAAGCGACAAAGGTGGTGCTTTTTTTTATTCGGGTTTTTTGGTTTTTGGGTTGGTGGTTTTTTGTTTGTGGGTTTTGGTTTGTTTGTGTTTTTTTTTTCAGTCTTCATGGTCAACTTGTGTCAGCCTACTGATTGCTGCAACATTAGCTGTTAGATTGTACTTCTTGGGCAGCTTTCCTGAGTTTAGTGTTTTGCATTTTTAAAATAATACTCAGTTACTATGGTAACAGGCATTTAAACATTCACTAAGTAAATCATCTCACAGTATTAAGTCACCTGAGCATTGACCAGAATTTGTGCAGAGCAGCTATAATTAATAGCACTGCTATGAAATACCATTTTCTGTCACTGCTGGGAAGAACACCTGATCTGTTTTACTCAAATTTGCTTCCCATAGAAAAAATAAGAAGGTTATTCTAAAAAGATCTGTTCACCAACAAACTCTGTTAAAGACATGCAGCATAAGATAGCTTACACCCCACTAAAAAGACTGAGATTTGCCTATGGAACACTATCCAGACAAATCTCTGTGCAAGTAATAAAACTCATAAACAGTAGTTGGACACAAGAAAAAAAACTTGTTCTTATTTTCAAGGCTTTTACCGTAGCTTTTGCATTTCTGGATATTCCAAACAGAACACCAAATACACTAAATTATTTCAAACTGGGGAAAAAAAAAAAAAAAAGTAGCAGAAGTCCCCTCGAATCAAGATTTTCTGACACATCAATTCAGATTTGATTTCTTCTTTAAATACAACTCCAACAAACTTGTTGCACCACCTCTTCTTTGAAAGAGAGCTACCCAGGGTCTCCCTACAGCACTTACTCCAGATACTCTGTATCCCTTAGGAAGGTGTCCCAGTCCCTCCTTGAGCCATGGAGTTTGCTATGCCCAGGTGAGTCCCCCCCAAAATCAGCCCTGCCCCTCAGGAAACTACCCACAAATTATCAAGGGCAGGAAAGATGAAAATAATGACAGCAGAAACTCATAAAATTCAGCAATGCAACCACAGAGTAACAGAAGCACCAAGCCCAACGCTGAGCTGCTTCATATCCTTTCTCCCCGATACTATTTTGCATTTCATGATTAGTACAGTAAACAACAGATGTTGATGAGCAAAAAAAAACCAAGGCATCCCCAAGCAAGAATGAGAACATTTCCTGATAGGTTTCTTCAACAGATGCTGTTTCAAACTTGGCTTTAAAGACAACTGAACTGAAGATGATGTGTTCTCACTCCTCCGTAATATAAGAGAGCTGTGGCGATCACTAGAAGAAATGGTAAATTTTTTTACTCACTTAAAAAGTAACTTTCACAAACGTAAACAAGCTTTCTGGTAGCTGGTAAAAGCAAGAGAGGAGCCTTTAAGCATCTAATATGAACCCAAGAAGCTGTATTTACACCAGCCTGAATTTAAAAAAAGCAAAAGGCAAAAAAATTGGCTAAAACTTTTGGAAATAAGAAATCTGGTCATCACCACCTGGACTACAGAATTGTTTCTCTTCCATGATGCATTTTTAAGAGCTTCCAGTAAAGGATCTGGTATTAGAAACCATAGGGAATTCAACCTACAAATTGCCTAACAAAAATTAGTTTCTGGAGATGGCACACTGCTTCCTCTCCATTGCCCCTTTCCTACTAGGGTGAGTCTAGGTTTCCACTCCCAAAAGATGGACACAGAAGAAAAAAAAAAAAGAAAAACAGAAAAAAAAAAAGAAAAAGAAAAAGAAAGAAAAAGAAAACAGGAGGTGGGAGAAGTTGAAAAGTACACTCAAGCTTGGCTTATCATTGGCACCATAAATGACTCTGAATTTCTGGGTACCACTCACAGATCAGGCTTCATTGTGTTCTTTCCCTGGCAGTGCTAGTTTGAGTTTGAGATATTCTACAAGAAAAGGATAAGTAAAACCTATCTGGGAAGAAGTCAAGGGATGAGATAAATACTTGTAAAGTACGGAGAGGAAACTGAAAGAAAGTGATAATGTTTAACAAACAGTTCAGTTTTCTGACAGAAAGAACTACTGTGTTTGCCTCATGTTTCCTAATAAGCAGTTTTTCATTACCAGTAAAGCCAGATAGTTTAGGTTTTCACACAAAAACACTTGTTACAGAGTCCAGCATAAACTTTCCTTCACAACAAGGATAACTACCTGATGCAAAAACTCCTCAAACCATCACCTGAAGCACGAGTGTTCTAGACTGGTCATACAGCAACCTCTCTCCAAAAAGCAAATAGCATTCTGTTGGCATTTACTTACTGCGCTCTATCAATCATAAACGTTTTACTACAGTCTTATAAAGGTAAGAAATAAAAGGTTTTAAAAAGGAGCAAAGAAAATCTCACATTTTGACGCTGGCTACTGCTGGGTGATACAACCTATAGAGTATTTGGAATCTGCTTGGGAGCTTTGTTTACCCCTGCATGCTTACTACTCCAGGCAGTAGAAGGAAGGACTGTGTGTGGGATGAGATAATGGAAATTTATTCAGCTTCTGGAGGAAAAAGTCAAAGCAACCTTCATCTTCTTACAGAACTCTAACTTTTGACCCTTTTCTACCACTTCTTACACACAAATACCCATGTGGTTTTGGTTTTAAGACACTTTTGATGAGCACATCTTTATAAATAGTTGTCGCTGCTCTGTTTCTCCAAATTCCTTTCTCTTTATTGCATTACATAATGAGATTTTTTTCTACTAGCACTAAAGTATTAGGTGATTAAAGATTAACTCACCCCCAGGAGAGAGAATCTCAATTAAAAAAATTCCAATCATTGTAGTCACCAAGTCAAACCGCAGCTCTTCAGTGACCAACCCAACTCACCAGCTCCTGTTCCCCTGCTGGTTCCCAGAGCCTCCCACCGCTGGAAGGAGGAGGGCAGGTGCCCTGACAGGGGATGCTCAGGAAAGAACACCTAAAGCTTCCAGTAAGTGACTGAAATGCCTTTCATGTGACACGCCACGTGAAATATTTGTCAAGGGTTTATTTGTTTTGAAAATGTACGTAAATACGTGAATTACCATGTGAAGTGTAACACTAAATGTTTACAAAACAGTAGTTCCAAGGAAAAGCGCACCTTCTCGAAAGCACCACCACCTTTCCTTGTTGATGCAAACATACCCTTAGATTTGACGCTGCAAGACCTGAAACTCACCTCGGTTCTCACGGGCTCCTCAGGTCAGACAGCGGGGAACACTCCGGGGGAATTAGCCCACTCGGCAGCATCCGCAACTGGTTCAAACCTATTTATCTGCTCTTTAGCAACAAAACCAGCAATTGCCTCTCTGTTTTGTCAAAAGCTGCCTACGTAACTTCCACTGAGAGTCGGATAATTCAAAACATACTGGGACAAAATATGCAGCCTCAAGGAAAGAAAGAAAAAACAACTTCAAAAAAACCAAAAAGCTAGAGAGTGGAGCCAAGGGCCGAGCCGGTCCTGCGGCAGCGGCGGCTGCTGTCAGCCCTGCGGAGCCGTCCCCGCTCCTCCGGTCGGGACACCCGGCTCCAGCAGGTCTTTTCCCGCTACGCGGCTGTTCCTCGAAAGCCGAGAACCCGAACCGCCCTGCCCGAGCGGGATGTTACATTTTTACGGAGGGAATTCGGAAAGAGCGGGACACTCCGACCCGCAGCCCCGGCGCGGCCGGGCAGCGACACCACCCGCGCCGCCGGCCCGGTCCGGCGCGGCCCCGAGCGGCACCCGGCGGGACGGGGCCACTCCGCTCCGGGGATGGGGGAAGAGGAGCCGCCTCCCCCCGGCCAAGAGAGAGCCCGGAGCTGGGACCGGCCCGCGGGGCTCCCACCGAGCCAGGGCCGCGTCCCGCGCCCGGAGGGATGACAGGAGACGGACCCGCCCCGGCGGGGATGGGGGAGACAGGACACGGCACGGCGGGTCCGGGGCTCCCTCGTGTCCCTGCCGGACTCCCCCGGGGCACCGCCGCCACCGCTCCCCGCCTCACCTTGGAGCATGGCCTCCAGTTTCTTCCTATCCACCCGGAATCGCTCCTCGCCCCACTCGGGGCTGTGCAGGGCCCGCGGCGGGCCGGCCGAGTCCTCCTCGGAGCCGGGCGCGGGCGAGTCGGCGCTGCGCTCGCTGTTGGAGCCCGGGTCGGAGAGCGGCTGCTGCAGGTACCCGCTCAGCGGGTCGCGCTGCGCGGCCATGGCGCTGCCGGGCGGCCGCCGCCGCTGCTCCGAGCCCCACTCGGCCGCGTCCCCGCGGGTGGCTATCTGCCCCCACAGCCGCCCCGCCGGCTCATCCCAGCCGCCGCCGCCGCCCGCCCGAGCCCCGGCGCCGCCCGCCTCTGCCCCCGGCTCCCCGCCGAGTGTGCGCGGCCCCGGCCCGGCGGCGTCCGCGGCTCGGCGGCGCCCCCAGCCCGCCCGCAGCCCGCACAGCATCCCCACCTCCATTGGGCCGCCGCCCGCCGGGGAGGGGCCGGGGATATCCCCGGGAGGAGGGGGCAGCGCCGCGGCCCCGGAGGAGGGCGGAGAGGGACGGGGGGAGGGAGGGGCAGGGAAGGAGGGGAGATGCCACCGCCCCCAGCGGCACCGCCCACGCCTCGGGGCGGCCGGGACGGGGTCGCGGCTGTGGGGGCTCCGGCG